GATGTTCAGTCATGTCCACGAGATAGTAGAACTTCAGGAGCCACTCAGTGTTAGCCAACTCAGGATGCTGGACGTTTTTCATTTCAAGAAAAGTCCAGATTTTGGTCAGACAAGCCGCAAAACGGCTGAGCACCTTCCCTCTTGACAACCAACGCACATTACTGTGCAGGAGCAGACCAGGATAATTATTCCCAACTTCTTCCAGCAGTGCTTTAAACTGGCGATCATTTAAAGCTCCGGCAACAATAAAGTTGACCACCTGAATGACAGCGACATCACCTCACCAAGCTAATTATCTTGTCTTTACCCGAAAAGTCGTCAAAAAGTTCATTGGCAACATCAAGCATGAATGTTTTGGCATGCTCACCATCTGTGAATGGCTTTCAGTTTCTCACAATTGCTAAAGCACCAGCAAAACTAGCCGAATTCCAGTCACCTTGTTGGGTCTAAACACAGAGTTGCTGCTGACTAGTTTGCACTCAGCACAGTAGCTCTTCACATGCTTTTTTCCTGCTGTCCCCCACAGGATATTTCGATGCAAATGTAGCATGGCGTGTGTCGAAGTGCCGCTTTATATTTGAACGTTTCATCGATGCAATTTTATCATTGTATATTAGACACACTGCAGAACCTGCTCTCTCCACAAAAGCGAATTCCTCTGTCCATTCCTGCTGAAAAGTACGATACTCCTCATCTCGTTTTCTTTTAGGCATCTTCTTCGACACGTTTCCGCAACTAGCTAGCTAGCTGCTATGAAGGAAATTTACTTCCTGACCACATCACCCATGTACGTTATGCATTATCCAATTGGCTCCAGCCACCCGCGACCATCTTTTATATTTTTATCGTTATTTTTTTTTTTTATTAAAGATTTATCTGCGAGCCAGATGCAGCCATCAAAAGAGCCACATCTGGCTTGCGAGCCATAGGTTCCCGACCACTGCTCTACGGGATAAATGGGCACAGCGAGGTCTTAATTAAGTGTGAAGACAAACTTTGCATGACAAAAAAAAAAAGATGTGTAGTGAAAAATGTTTTTTCTGCTGAGGACAAACATACTTGAAAAACGTTCTAACAAAAGTTAACGCATTTAAGCCCTGGAAGTCCCTCTAACTTTACAACAGTTAGTGTTGCTTAGTGGAAAAATCAACTTCTCCATTTAACTGCTTTAAAAAAGTAGTCCTCAACCCCCGGGCCCGGTCCGCGGGTCAATGGGTACCGGGTCGCACAGAAGGGGAAAAAAAAGTTTTATTTTGAAAAATCATTGGATTCTCTCTACCACATCAGTCTGTGACTCACTCTTGATGCAGGTCAACATACACAAGTGGTTACTTTTAGTTTCTGCTAGACGCATGCACAGATCAGTTCTACATTGCTGGTGAAGAACAAAACAATTCAGCTACATGGTCTGGAGCAGACAGGTGGAGGTGCGCAGCCGTATCTGTGCATTTTGAAGGATACTGCATATTTTTCAACCCGCCTGACAAAGATTGACTATAAAACTATAACTAAAAACTATAATTTTAACAAGCTTCCTAATGTCACATCAGAGCGGTCGCTTAACATTTTTGCTTCTGCTCAAAAAGATCTCTGTCCCTAAAAGTTCAAAGTCATGGGTAATTTTATAAAACATAAAAATATAATTAAACGTTTTGCACTAGGCATAAGTTCCTGTGCTTTTGTGAACAAGCTGATGTGTGAATCACTGCAGGAGTTCTCTGAGCTTTCACCGAACTGATGAAACAGACGATGATCTCAGCTCATGAAGCTGTTTGTCGTACAGTCAGAGTATTTGAAGCGAAAAATGTTTGAAATGTTTGTAAAATGCACCAGAATGCAGGAAATGGCATCTACTTTATTCAAAATTTTGTTGGGGAGGACCCCCCAGACCACCCCTCCCCCTTTCCCAATCCGTGAAAATATTATCTTACATCAAACTGTTCTGTGGCGCAATAAATGTTGCTTTAAAATACTATATATTTATTTTTACAATTTTTTTTCCTGTCACAAAAATCTAGTCAGTCTTTTAGAGCTATTTCAGCCTCAAACAATATATATATAATTTTAAAAGATTTTTTTATTTTATTTTATTTCAACCCTTTTAATGTTTTTATATACAAAAACACCTCCACATTTCAGTATATTTAAAATCAGCAAAACATTTATTTTATAGCATTTTTTAAGTTTTTTAATATAAATAAAATAAGCTCATTTCCCATTTAGTATTCCCCAAATTATTTATTGGCAATGTTTTAAAGAATTTTATTACAATCATAAATATATTGTACTTTTATATTTATGAGCCTCTGTAGATTTTTACAGACGCTCATAAATACAAAAGTGGACCACCGTCTAGTGAGATAATGTAAAAATGAAAAGCAGTTATCGAGGTAAAAAAAAAAACATTACTGAGAAGTGCGCTTTATTTTATGAGATAATAAATAAAGGATCAAAATAAGTATTTTACAGTCTGTTCTAATGAAGCTGATTGTTTCCCCTCAGGAACATGACAGTTTAGTGATGTTACTGTGAGGTTATGAAAGCATTTAATAAATTCTGACAAAACAAGTGGAAGGATTTTAGGCTTTATCAGAACAAGTTGTGTTTATTAAGTGCAACAAAATAAAATGATAAAAACATGGACAAAAATAAATGTGTGGCTGATTGTTCCCCATAAGTTCTTCTGATGTTCTGTATTTGTTCCTGTGTTGATGGTTACAGCCACTGACATTAGAAATAAATCAAAAACGTTTTATTTTTATTTTAAACTAATACCGCTCACTCTTTTTCTACAACTATTGACACGTTTAAGAAAAATACTTTCATTTGTGCATTTTGATGGTTTTAAAGTAAAGTGTGACTCTTGTATTTTTTTTAAAGCTAACTGTTAAACAGCTTGGCAAATTTTGTGTTACAAAAGGAAAATCTCCAAACTATTTTATAGTAAATTGTTTGTCTCATTTGTCTCTCTGTGTCCCTGTAATGGGCTGAAGACCTGTCCAGTGTGTCCCCCACCTCTCGCACAGTGACTGGATATGGGCACCTGTGACCCCCATGACCCGTAAAGGAAGAAGCAGGTAAAGATAACGGATGGGTGGATGGATGTACTTATATAGTACCGTTCTCATCAACCAGGATACTCAAAGTGCCTCCAACACAATCTGTCCTCATTTACCTCCACCTACATTCATACACTTTTTCTTCTTTCGGCTGCTCCCTTCTTCAGGGGTCGCCACAGTGAGCTAACTTGGACGAAGACTTGGCAATTGGCTTTATGCCAGATACCCTTCCTGATGCACCCACAGACCACCGAGCTATCACAGCCCTCTGTGTGGAGCAGAGAGCTGCCATCTAGGGCACCTGGGGGAGCAGATGGGGAGGGTTAAGGGCCTTGCTCACAGGCCCATCTTGTCTGATCTTAGCACCACCAGTCCCTCATATTAAGTTTCTTTTGACTGCTTCCTTCTTCAGGGGTTGCCACAGCAAGTGAACTCACATGAAAGATTTTGAGATTTGTTTTACTCCAGATGCCCTTCCTGAGACAACCTGGGCTCAAACCCACAACCTCAGGATTACAAGACCACTGCACTGATCACCAAGCTACCGCAGCCATTCGTATAGCATGATACTACATCTTGACAGAGACTGATCAGAGCTTTATCACATTCATACACCGATAGACACACACCAGAGGCAATGAGGGGTTCAGTGTCTTTCCCAGGGACACTTCAGCATGGGACTGATAATGGAATTGAACCTCCGACTTTCTCATTGGAGGACAACTGATCTACAGCTGCCCCTTTAATCTGAGTGGCTGAAGTGGAGAACTACAGGTTCCTCTGACAATAACCAGGGGATGAAACCATAATCTGCTGTGGTCCCTGATCTGAACCAGTCATTTAGAGAATTAACACGTCATACGTGTAAAACAAATAAAATCCTATACAAATGGAAAATACTATTTAAAGTTCGACAATTTGATTTAAACTAGAAGTGATGCAGCTACTGTCTGTAATTTTAGAACAATCTCCAGCTCAAAATAAATAAATAAAAATACTGTAAATATCAATCAACCTTTTCAAATGTTGCTCGTTTTTTGTACTAATAAATTCTCATCACAAACCATCATAACTTGAGTTGTAACTTGACAGAAACTTTTCAGGTTCGTGCTACTTTTTCCTTGTGCCAGTCATTTTTTTCTTTAATACTGGAAACAAAAAGTCATTAAGAACACACAACATGTTGTCTACATGTATGATCTAATGTAAATACATCACTACATGATAAGAAGAGTTGAGAACAAGTTTGGATATCATGACAGAGCTGCCAGAAAAGAAGGGACATCCAGTGTGAGGGAATAATAAGCTGGGAGACTTAAAACTTGTCATCATAAAAACAGATTTTTATCATTTCTAAAAAAAATACCATCGTAAACACAGCAACGTTTTTAAAACTGCTTTTCCCCACACAGAACACCATACACAAAACAAAACACTTTAGTAACTATGCCAGGCGTGGAACACTGCCACCAAAATATATCAAAAATACAAAATGGAGTGGACCGGATGCATAAAGTTTGGACTCTGGGTGCCAAATGTAATACCCAAACCCAGTTTTCTTATTTTTCCTGCCTAGTTCTCTTTATGAGCCACACTGTGTTTTTGTTCATCATTGCTGTCTGCAAACTGAAATAGTACAACAAAGGTTCTGCTGTAGTTTATAAAAAAATACAATCTGCCATTGTTGTTTCTGCTTTGTCTGGTGTTTGTGTCTGGTGCTCCGAAGATGCTGTTTCCATGACGATGCAAGGCTTATTTCATGTAAAAACTTTGAAGTGTTCACAAAATGCCCTCTTCGTATGGATGGTGCCTCAGGAAGCAGCGGTGAAGGTGAGCTGATGATTCCTTCACAGCAGGCAGCAAGTGGGCGGTTAAAGGGAACGTCGCAGAGGATCAGGAACAAGGCAAGCAGTCCAAGATGGAAGAGGTGAAAGGTCACTCTTATTGTCTTTCCATCTTGATTTGAGCTTTTTTGGTTGGTTCTGCGTTCTTAAGGGAGCCAGAGATGTTGTACCTGCAGGAACATTGAAACAGTGAGAAACTTAATAAATATAAAAACTAAACCCACAGAAACTTTTGTTTTCAACAAGTCTTTTGGGGAAGTGTAAATGTTTCATTACACTCTTCAAGTTGGCCTTTTTTTTTTAATGAAATCACTTCCTATTTGAGAAGACTCTAGAAAAGTGTCCTATCAGACTGTTCTCTTTTGTGTAAGCTACACCATTTAAAAACTGTCACTATTGGGCGTGCACCGCATCAAACACTGAAAACTTCTAGTCCACGCTCACCTTCTATGTGGGCCTCACCCAGTCCATTATAAATTGCATCTGGACCGGAGATCCATTTCCTGTTTTTTTCAGCCAAATTGAATAACACTACTTCTGAACATAAAGAAAGAAAGAAAAAAGAAGGAAAATATGACTTCCACCAAAAAAGCAAGAGTCATTCATCTGTGCCCGGAGTGCCAGACAGGTTACATTTTGTCGACAGACCTGCACATTGTTTGTGAGAGCTGCTTGGGAGATGAACATGCCCTCCAGGACATGGAACCCGTTTTCCTGCCCAGCCTGCAATCTTTTTTTGGACAAGGAAAAGCAGCGCTGGTTTGAGCTCCTTTCCTCTGTGGACGACGAGTTTCAACCAAAGGGGGACTGTTCACTGGAGGAATTTTTGAGTTCCCTGGACTCGGAGCTAGCGGACATGTCCCTCTCCGAAGCTGAAACAGCTAGCAGCTGCGCTCCATCCTGCCTTTCAGAAGGTTTGGAGTCGGTACTGCCGCCGACGGACGCCACCCTAACTGCCATGGGGTTGGCCACCACTCTTCTTCACTTGCTCCTGGAGATAATAGGGAGGTCGGTGAGAGCCTGTGACCGGGAGGTGCCCAAGCCATCGGCGCCAATCACGTCAACCCTTTTGGGAATATTTGCCACTCAGCACACCAGGACCCGCTCTGACCCTGTTTCCGGGCTATGTCTGCCCTCCTCTTGAGCTTGGCCACCGACCCTCTGAAGTTGAGGACTCCAGTTGCCTCCTATGCAGCCATCACAAAGGTCAAAGGGTTCACAGACCAAGACTTCCCCACCATCCTTCCTCTAGAACCCAGCTTGTCGGCTATCTTCAGGGTGAGAGCAGCAAAGTACGTTGGCCGAAGCATTACCCCTCCATCTCCCAGCAACCAGCTTACCACCAAGCTGATGGATAAAATACACCAGTGCTTGTCGCAGGTGGTAGCGGCGACAAACAATATTGTGATGGTAGCCCTTAGCATATCTAGCCTGGAAGAGCAGATGGCGGGGGTTAAGGACCTTGCTCAAGGGCCCAGAGTGGGGCAAATGAGGGTGAAGGTAGGTGTGGGTGATTCACCTTTCCCACCCACATTTTGATGCCATAATGACCTCTGCCCATCTTTGCGTCTGAAAGAGTCAACTTGCCAAAAATGCTTTTTTGTATGCAGTCCTCTTACTGACTTGATGCCAACTAATCAAATTATTGCTAAATGCTCTTCCATCTGTTTCATATTCTACCATTTACAGACCTTTGTTGCCCATCAAAAGATTGTTGAAATGTGTTTGTATCTTTGAACTCCATTTTTTTTTACTGTTTTCTAAAGCATGCCAAATTCCTTTGTTTCAACATCTGATATTTTTACAATGTTCCATTAAAAAGAACTTATGGCTTAATGAAATCTGAAGTCATACCATCCATCAATCTATCCATTATCTTCTGCTTGTTCCAAAGTCAGGTCATGTGGGCAGCAGCTTGAGCAGGGAGGCCCAGACATCTCTTTCCACAGCCACCTCTTCTAGCTCTTCTGGGGGACCCCAAGGCATTCCCAAGCCAACTGAGAGACAAAGTCTCTCCAGCATGTCCTGGGTCTTCCCCGGGTTCTCCTCCCAGTCGGACATGCCCAAACCTCCCTAAGGAGGCGTCTAGGGGTCATCCTTACCAGATGCCCGAACCACCTCAACTGGCTCCTCTCAACGTGGAAGAGTAGTGGTTCTACTCCGAGTCTCTCTCAGATAACTGAACTCCTCACCCTATCTGTGGCGGCTGTGGCTGAGTGGTTAGAACAGTCGTCCTCCAATACAAGAGTTGGGGGTTCGAATCCACCAGCAGTCACATGCCGAAGTGTCCCTAGGCAAGACACTGAACCCATCATTGCCTCTGATGTGTGTCCCATCAGTGTATGAATGTGATCTCAAAGCACTGATTAGTCTCTTTAGAATGATTTGTTCAATTAGCTTTGTAGAGGTCTAGTAGAGTGCTGTGTGAATGGGTAATTGAGGACACAGATTGTAGTGTAAAGCGCTTTGAGTGTCTGGATAAAATAGAATAGCGCTATATAAGTGCAGTCCATTTATCTCTAAGGGAGAGTCCAGCTATCCTGCGGAGGAAACTCATTTTAACTGCCAGTATCCACAATATCATTTTTTCGTTCAGTACCCAGAGCTCATGAGGGTAGGAATGTTAAATGACCAGTAAACGAGAACTTTGCCTTACAGCTCAGCTCCCTCTTCACCACAATGGACCAGTACAGAGTCTGCAATACTGCAGACGCTACACCAATCTGTCTACCAATCTCACGCTCCATTCTTTCCTCACTAATGAGCAAAACCCCAAAATACTTGAACTCCTCCACTTGAGGCAGAACCTCAACCTGAAGAGAGCAATCCACCCTTTTCCAGTTGAGGACCAATGGCCTCAGATATGGAGGTATTGATTCTCATCCAGTAGTAGCAAACTGGCTGATCCACTGAGAAGGTGCTATTCATAAGACTGAGCTGAATACAGCACCTCAGACTGAGGAAGTCTTTCAAATGAAAAACAAAACATTTCTGCATTTTTTGTTGCCCATAGGACTCATTTACAAAAGAGACCTGGATTTTAACAAAGAGTGATGACAACAGTGGATAACAAACTGTTCTATTTTGTATAGGCTTCACCCTTTAAGGCTGTCGCTGATGGGTTTATCCCTATATGCGAAGTATTGCACTGAAAAATTTAGTCCACGCCCACCTGCAGTGTGGGCCCCACTCGGTCCGTATAAATTACGTTAAGAGCGGGTAATCGGTTCCCATTTTTTCTTCAGCGAGCTAATAGCACTGTCAGAAGAACGAAGAAGGAAAGTTGTGTAGATGACCAACCTTTGTTAAGAATGCTTGGCCCATCACGTCGACCTCCGGTCGTCCCGGTGAGCTCTCCTCCCCGAGGAGAAGCTGACGAGCAGTCTTGTTTCAAGGTGAGCGCCGAGGAGTATTTCTCAGTGACAGGTCGCTACACGCTGGACAACGCCATCTTGTAATTTTCCTCTTATCGTCGACCCTCGGAGCGAATCAGATGGTTCCTCCGGGACAGGCGGCGTTCAGCTGCAGCCCCGCTGCTCATTCCCTCCTGGAGAGCGTAGTGTCGGTGGAGGGTGGCTGAGCGAATGCTCACCTCATCCCACCTCGTTTCGCATCGGCGATCACACCGCTCCCGACCGACGGCGCCCTCTGGGGTTGACCGGCGTAATCCAGGAGGCTGCTGGCATTAAGGGACCCTTTTTTACATCCCGCGCCTTTCCCGCCAGTTCGGATGATCCGGTGGGAAGGTTTTTTTCTAGGCTCCATTCTGGCTCGCCGTCCTGATCCCATCTGGCCTCGGTTTCCCAACAGGATGTCCTATGGGGACGAGGCCACAGCCGGCTTTCCTGGTAGACTGGGGGGCCGGTCTCCACAGTCCGCGCCCATCTCCAGAGCAGGGGTTTCACCGAGCGGAAATTCCCTCAGTGCCCCCTGGAGCCAAGCCTGACGGAGGCTTCATTGGAGCAAGATGTCCAGGTGGACCAGCGTTCCGCGCTTCCAGTTAGCATAACCCAGACGGTGACACCGCTCTCCAACTGAGCTCACCAGCATGCGTTCCTGACGGCCGCAGCAAATAACACGTTACGCTGTTGGCGTACACGTTCAGAGGCGGGAAGAGATGTACGCTTCATCTGCAGGGCAGCTGACGTCATCCCCAACCGGTGCGCCTCTTTGCTGTCTGCTGGCCCGCATCGAGGTCGGAGGACGGAGTTTTCAGTGTTTCCCTGAGACCGCCAACAGATGGCGCTCTAAGACAACAAATGGCAGAGCAAATGACGGTTTTGGCGGAGGATGTGTGTGGAGGTGACACGAGTTTGGAGTAAACATCATTTAATGATGAAAGTGTATATTTTTAGCCAATCTGTCAGCTCAGATCACTTGACAGCGGCTCCCTCTCACATCTTCCACACGAAATGAGCCGGTGGCAAGACGTTCCACAGCCGTCTCGCTGAGCTTCACCGCAGCCCCGCCCACCAGAGACCGGCCCTTTTCATCTCGGCAACAGAGTGTCCAACGTTTTCCCAGAGATCCCCAGCAGACAGCGCCCTGGGCCAACAAATCCCAGAGCTCATGGGGGAAAAGATTCAAAATGACGGTCTGCGGAGGGTGTGTGTAAAGATGACACAATGTTGAATAAAACTTCATTCAATGATCAAGTGTCTGTGTTTAGCCAGTCTGTAAGCTTGTATGAACTCACAGCAGCTACGCACACATCCTCCACAAAAACGAGCCGGTGTCCTTAAATAAAGGGTTTTCAAACTCACCGCTGCCCCAGACATGACGAGACGCTCACAGAACACAACAGTGGTAAGCGAAACAACTCGTAGTTAATCCGAGCTGCACGATCTTCACCCAAGGGGTGTCAAACGTGCAATTGCGTGACGCAAACAGCCTTCACCCAAACGGCGTTGCGTTGATGATGGTGCACACACAGCTCCCTGGCACTCACCGGTTCACAGCGGCATAAATGTGGGACCTCAGATCGGGTCGGTGGAGGACCTTGCTCTCAAGGAGAGTGACACGCGCCGCACCGAAGCAAACGCGTGCCGCCGCGGCAGGGGCAGTCTTCACTCACCACCCCTCAGCGCTCGGCCGCTCACGTCAGCATTAACATGAGACAGCTGAGCAAACCCAGTGACCAATCTTGCCCCAGCGAGAGCGGCGCGCGTCC